TTGGAGATGCCTCTCAGGAGGCACTGGCCTCTCTGTGTGGATTTAATGTAATGACTCTCATGATACTTCCTGGCTCTGGCCCAGACTGTGGCTTCATTATCTACTGGTGACAGTGACACACACAGGTGTGTTAGTTACTTTTCTGTTGCTGAGATAAAACAATGTGACCAAGGCAACTGATAGAAGAAGAGTTCATTTGGAATTATGATTCTAGATAGTTAAAGTCCAGGAAGGTGGAGCGGAGGCAGCAGGTGGCAGGGATAGCAGCTGAAGCAGAAACTGAGGGCTCATGCCTTGAACGACGAGCAAAAAGCAGACACAGTGAACTAGGATTAGGGTGAAGCCTTAAGCTCTCAAAGCCCACCTCCAGTGACACACTTCCTCCAGCAAGGAGGTATCTCCTTAGCCTGCCAAATAGTGCTGCCACCTGGGGACCAAATGTGCAAAAGCCGGAGCCTATGGAGGACGTTCTCATTCAAATCACCACACCTACTATGGTCAGAAGAGTGTTGCAGTTTCCAAGGGATAGGCAAGACAGCATGTCACTGAAAGGCTAACTTAGGAACCAACGGAGCCCTTCCTAGCCTTGGCCCAGAGCTAGCTCCTTGACTCAAGGCTTTCATCTTGCATTCTGTCGAGTGGGGCTGAAAGTCTCTACCAGTCCCAGGTGGCTTCTGAAGGTCAGCCTCTCAGAGCCCAACTTCCTCCTTTATAAAACAAGGTTCCAGAAAGTTCCTCAGAGATTCTCCGGCTGCTTGAACCTCACATATCTGTTGCTTTTCGCCTGCTACGACAAAATGTCTGGCAGAAGGAACTTAAGGAAGGAAAGGGGGGTATATTAGTTGCTTTATGTTGCTATCATAAAGAACTCTGACCAAAAGCAGCATGTACACGAGCACTAACATACTTCCTCCAGCGACCCTCAACCTCCTAACGATTCTGTAACTTCTCCAAGCAGTGCTGCCAACTGGGATCCAAGTATTCAAATACGTGGTCCACTTTTCACTCCAACCATCATTAGAGGGTTTGTCTTGGCTCACAGCCGGGCTTCAGATCACCTTGGCAAGGGCAGCACAGTGGGAGGATAGGGGAGTGATTGGGCACATTGCATCCACAGTCAGGAAGCAGAGAGTAATGAATGCTAGCACTCGGCTGACTTTCTCCTTATTCAGTCCAGTATGATGACACCTAGACTCAGGATAGATCTTCCCAGCTCAGTTAAGCCTTTATAGACAGGCTCTTTCAGAGAAATCCTTTTTTAGAAAAGAAAAACCATTGTGTGTGTGTGTGTGTGTGTGTGTACACGTGTGCAGGTACCTATAGAAGTCAGAAGTGGACATAGATCCCTCAGCACTGAGATTATATACAGGCATGTGTATGGTGTCCAGTGGGACTTCTGAGATTCAAATGCTGATCCTCTAAAGGAAGAGTAAGTGCTCTTAACCTCTGAGCCATTTCTCCAGCTACCTCTTTCCACATTCACAAGATTTATTGTACTTCCATGGCAATTCTAAATCTAGTCAATTTGACAAGGAAAAGTATCCATCACACCCGAATATATACTATGCACAAAGGCTGTTCGTTAGGCGGTAGCTCTGTCTGGGATGGGCCAGCCAAGTAGAGGCAAAATGGAGAGTCATTTGGACTGCCAGGCTTGGTTGGAGATGTCCTAGGGCTCTGTAAGGTGAGCACTGAGCATCCTGTCTGAGAATATGGAAGGAAAATGAGTGCTCCTCAGAGACCAATCATTTTCAAAGTTGAAGAAAGGGGGAAGGTGTGAGACCTCAGGCATTTAGGGAACCCATTCTTTCTGGGACCCTGAAACCAGGAAGCTTCAGGAAGTCAGTACAGAACATGTCTACCTTCAGCTTTAAGGTAGAGAAGCCAGGTCCTGCTGGGCAGTGTGAAGTCACCTGCAGCCACCACCACTAAGGTAGGGCAGAAGAAAGGCTTCGCCTCTCTCTGTTCTATCAACCCAGACATCGACTAACTGACTCCAGAGCTGTCTGAGCAGTGAAAACGCAAAAATGAGATTTTTGAGGCCCAAGCCTTGCATCACCAGAATGGAACGGGATATGGAAGAGGGTAGGTAAACTCCCCTCTGTGGTAGACAGTGACCCAAACTGGGGTCCAGGTCCCTGAAGTACTCCACTAGTATATAGCAATGACACCTTTGAGTAGGAATCAGCCATTTTAAAAACAGATACTTCCCTAGTGCCTGGCTTTGACTTCAACTACAAGGGTCTGGAATTCATCTGGAAGATTTCAACATCTTCAGTCCCCAGATTCCCCAGCCAGTTGTACTGGGGAACGTCATCAGAGAGGAAGCTAGTCACCTAGTGTCAGCAGCAAGAAGCTCTGAGAAGTCCTAAGCTGCCTGTTATGGATGGCACAGGAGCCAGATCAAGCTGCATTTCCTTCCACACTTGAGCTCCAGGCAGGAGCTTTCCAGCTCTGACTCACTGGGCCCTGGGTTCTCCAAATGAGGGATTAAAGCAGAAGTGAGGCACACCCCTGCATGAGAACACAGAAACCCCAGATCCTACTCAGGGGACGTGACTTTCTGAGCCATCATCATCTTCCTGGATATTCTTGCTTAGCACAGAGTAGACATGCCAGAGACAGGAAAGGAAGGGCGGGGGGTGGGGGTGGGGTGTCTAAGCTTTTGATTTCTAAGTCTGAGAAAGCACCATATTTGATAAGGAGAGCAAGTTCAAATGCATGGTTCAGTTCCTGGGAGTGTGAATTCAGCCAGAGGCTTCCCTGCTAAGCGACAATCCCATCCCCTGTGCATTGGTGGTGATGACAACGTATTTCCTTGCACGTTAGATGCCAGGAGGCTCTGCCCGTACTTTCTATAGACCCGTAAAGAAGTGTGATCACTCTGCCTTATGGAGCAGACCCACCAGAGAGATAGAATGACTTACACAGGGCCTCTCACCTAGGAAAGATAGGTTCAACATTCGCTAGGCCTAACTGACCACAAAGATTTGCTCTAGTCATAACCCAGTACATGGGGCTGCTCAGAGCCCTAACACGTGGCAGTTGGGACCCTGAATTGCAAAGTACAAAGAGCATGTTGGTCCCATTCAGCCCTGGGGCCCAGTGTTATGAGGGTGATAAGCCTCTCTGGGTGGGGGTTACTCTCACAGACTCCAAAGGGCTATACATCTGTGCTTCCAAGCATGAGGGAAGTGAATCGGAGGGACAGGTAGGTGGAAAGTGGAAGTAAAGCCACTGTGGACGGGCCCCTGTGGAGTCAAAACTAGCTGCTAGGTCACTGGATCAGCCTCACTGTTTGGCTGTTTGCTGTATCTCTGGTTCTGGGACCCCTAACACACACACATACACACACACACACACACACACACACCATGTGTTAGGACCCCTTTCCCAAGGGTCCTCAGAAAGCACTGAAGAGTCAGGTCAGGTGCCACTACCTGGAGGAACTGAGACAGGGAGTTCCTGGCTTGTATTCTTTAATGCCTAGTATCATTTGGACTCTTAAGTAACTTTGTCCTTGAGACAGTCCAGCCATCTTGTTGGGCTACATTGTACACAGGAAGCACCTGGGATTCAAGGACTAGAAACAGCCATGACTCATAGTATTTCCACTCGGTGCTTTGAACTGGTCACCTTTATGCCAGTCATTCTTTCCCACATTGGCCTGGAGGAATAGTGTTTTAGGAAGCAAGGGTCAGAGAAGTGCATCGCCTTGTCCACTGTTTTTACTCTGGTGCTGTTGGCCAGGCTCCACTGAAAACCTTCCATAAGACTACTTGGCACTGAGTAGCCACTGACCAGGACAGGGCTTGAGAACAGTTTGAGGAAGGCTCTCCCTTCTCTATAGCATGTTGGAGGCATTCCACTGGCCTGGGTCTTACTCTCTGGTTCTGGTTCTGCCATATGAAGCCAATGAGCCAGAACCCAGAGGCCTAGAGATGGTCTGCTTTCCAGTGATGAGAAGGACAAGATTTGGCCAAAAGTCAAGGTTGCCGTCAAAAGAATGTCTGACATAGGGGTAATAAATAAACAGTTTCTAGGCCCTTCTGGGCAGGGCAGGGGCTGTTGAGGCCCCAATTGTTACTTTGCCCCTTCCTGCCTAGCCACATGCTCAGGCTTATAAAGAGGGGAGATACATACGCTGGAGCTCACTGGAGCCTCCCTGTCTGACTCAGAGTCTAACATAGGTAAGACCCTTTCTCCCCCATATCCAACAGTTCTCTGCTGCAAAGCAGAGAACTCCAGGTAGAAACAGCCAAGGCCTGAAGAGTGGGAATACCTGAGGGATGGGAGATGAAGTAGGGCAAAGAGGAGAGATAAAGTGGAGATAAAGCTGCCCATGTCCTGCACAGGGGTGGCAGTGGCGGGGGTGGGGTGGGGGGGTGCATGTTGACTCCCAGCACAGCAATGAGCCAGACAGAAAGGGTGGAGAGATAGGTTAATCCGACACGGAGAGACTATGTTCATAGCAAAGGAAACCACGGGGTGAGTGATTTAGTCTCTGAACCATTTTCCCTCATTGCAGGGCATTTGCTCATGTGTATGTTGCGGAGGTTCATGGTTTAAGAAGCAGGAAACAGCAACTGAGAAACTAAAAAGCTAAGCTTCGAGCTCTGGCCATTGTCTTGGGTCCTTTTTTGGTTTGGTTGGTTGGTTTGGTTTTAGCTGTGACTGCATACCATCCAGGAAACAACTTGAGAGAGATTGGATTTACTTTGATTCATGATTTCAGGGTGTGTGGCTTCAGGGTGCTGGGCAAAGCATGGCAGCCAGAACGACTTTGTCCATGGCGACAAGAGTAAGAGCACAGCAGTGACAAACTCAGGTGGATGAGAAGGCAAAGTTCAGGCCTGAAGGAAGAAAAACAAGCAAATGGTATCAAACTGCCTGTCTTCCACAGAGAGCCCCGAGGCTTATGGCAGACACTGGAGAGAGAAATAATTTTGTATAACAAGGTCACCAAGTTTCATCTGTCTTTCTTCCTCCCTTCTACACAGATGTTCAGGGACCCCTGTGCCTTCCAGGAGACGTCCTTTAAGTCCCTATTCCTGGTGTCAACCTAGGAGACACAGCTCCTCAGCCCCACTTTCTGGAGGAGGGTGGCCAAGCCTCTTCACATCCTGCGCCAAGACCCTTTTTCAGATCATCCGGGGGTTCGTCCAGGCTGAGGATCAACTAACTAAGCTTGATCCCTTTTGATTTGGGGAGAACATTGCTCTTCCTAGGCTTCACTCAAGTATCATCAAGTCACATTCTTGACTTTGCTTGGGATGCAGAAGAGGTAGACCACACTGTTTACCAATACAGCCAAGATTGTGTTGCACAGACTGCCCTCGTATGCCACACGGGGATGTCGAGAACACAAACCTAGGTTTGTCTCCAACAGGCTGAAGTTTGCCCTAGCTGCATCTGAGACCTCCCTGCAGACTCCTTTTCCTGCCGCCTGCTCCTGTGTTTCTACTCAGCTCTAGGAGGGGTCTCTCTCCACTCTTCCACCCTCCCATCAACACAAAGGTCCCAGCAAAGGGTGGAGATGGTGAACATGAGGAAGAGGACCCTCAAGTACCTCACCTTCTTTCTGCTCTTCATCTTCCTCACTTCCTGTGTCCTGAACTACTCCAACACGGTTGTGCCCAGTGCCTGGTTCCCCAAGCAGATGGTCCTGGAACTCTCAGAGAATTTCCGCAAGTTCATCAAGTCACAGCCGTGCACCTGCAGACACTGTATCAGCCAGGGCAAGGTCTCATACTGGTTTGACCAGCGCTTCAACAAGACTATGCAGCCACTGCTGACAGCCCACAATGCTCTGATGGAGGAGGACACATACCGGTGGTGGCTGGTGAGCAGAATAGGGTCTGGGTGCAGGGTTGGGGGAGTCCTGGGGACCCACCAAGCGTCTGGCAGCATTCTGAGTATTTTCCCACCATCCCTTTACTCAGCATCTGTTTGTTAAGCATCTATTATGTATACATCAGAGAAAAGCCCTCCTGCTTTTTCCTCCTGTGGCTCCCATCACAAATCACCATAGACCTGGTGGCTTAAGACAGCAGTGGTGGTTGCAAGTCACAGTCCTGGAGGCCAAGAGTCTTCCCTCCCCCACCCGCACCCCCGTCTTGCTACAGCTACAGCTGCTGCTGACCATTTGTGGCAGCCCTTGACCCACAACTGTAACACCCTGTCTCTGCCCACACATCCCAAAGTTTCCTTGTGTCTCTGGAATCTTCTCCTGCGAAGAGTGTATGGCTCTATGGTGCACCCCGAATCCAGGCTGGCCTCACCTGGCACCAGTAGTAAGGCTAGATATTAGCACGTGGTGTGAGTGTGGGATTCAGTAAATACAGTGGTCCTGAGTCTAGAGATTGGCTTCAGCCTCTTCCTACATGCCCAAAGGTAGGCTCAAGTCCTGATCTCACACACAGAAGGTGTCCAGAGAGTACCTGTAGAATGGATAAATGAGTTTTTTTCCTGTTTCTTGTCCTGTGATGGGGGTGGGAGTCACCTGTGCCTTCACACTTAGTAGCTAAGTTTGGTGGCCAGGGAGCCAGCCTGCTCAGCCAGAGGGAGTGGAGCCAATCTGGCCATTCCCTCTGTTCTCTGCCCCAGAGGCTTCAGAGGGAGAGGAAACCCAACAACCTGAGCGACACCGTCAAGGAACTGTTTCGCCTGGTGCCGGGGAACGTGGACCCCATGTTGAACAAGAGGTTGGTGGGTTGCCGACGCTGTGCCGTTGTAGGAAACTCTGGTAACCTGAAGGACTCCTCGTATGGGCCTGAGATCGACAGCCACGACTTTGTGCTGAGGTGAGCACTGGACCTGAGCCCAAGGCTCCTCAGAGGTGTGTGAAACACCTTGGCTTAGCTCAGAAGGCCAAGGTTCAAGGCCTGCAGCTCTAGTACTGACTGACCTTTGGGTCTTAGTTTCTTCATCTTTCTCTAGCAAAGTGGCATGTAATGAGGAGGGGTTTGTAGAGATTTTCAACAGGCTGGCGACTTGGTACCTAAGGTCTATTGAGTGGTAAAAACTGATTTGAAGTCTGATTCTATGACTCAAAATCACCCTCAGCTTTAAATCTAGACCCTGAACCAGAAGCTTTGAATGTCAACTCTGCTTCCTCTGTCCCCAAGTGAAATTGGTATCTCAGGAAAGAGTGCCATATCTCCCTTGAGTTTATCATAATCCATACTCAGAGTTATTCTGGGACAGAGAGCATAATTAGAGGTGGGACTCAGTATCCCCCGGGGTACCTTCTAGAATGTAGAACAACATTATTCCTTTGTCTTTGGCTTCATGCCCATAGGTCTCTTTCCTGGCTCTCATGTGCCTAGTATCCTGTGGGAATGGCCGTGATGAGAGGCAGAGTCAGGCTCGGGGTCAGGCAGACCTGAGTTCAAAGCTATCATTTGGAAGAAGGCTTAGCTGATCTCTAGATAACAAAAAAGGCACACCTACTAGGTTACCCATGACACGGGTGGTCATTGATAGGAGAGCAAGACCCACCCAAATTTCTTTTATAAATAAATAAATAAATAAATAAATAAATAAATAAATAAATGCCTTGATCTCTGTTTTGCTGGATTAGGGACGGTATTTGGATGTGCATGCTGGGCAATCGGTCTACCTCGGACCTAGTTTCTTCCCACATCTCAGGCTGGTCTTGAACTTACCATCCTCTAGGCTCAGCCTCCCAAGTAGCTGGGATTTCAGACCTGCTTTGCCAGACCTGTGTGTCCTGTGTCTCCAAGGTCCCCATTGTACACATGGAGAAACTAAAACCTAGGGAACAAGGGATTCACCTGCAGTCACCACACAGGTGACTCTACCTCCAGCATCCTTGCCATGTGCCCTATTTTTCTCCCGTCCCAGGATGAACAAGGCCCCCACAGCAGGCTTTGAGGCAGATGTTGGGAGCAGGACCACCCACCATCTTGTGTATCCTGAGAGCTTCCGGGAGCTGGGAGAGAATGTCAACATGATCCTGGTCCCCTTCAAGACCATCGACCTGCAGTGGGTGATCAGTGCCACCACCACAGGCACCATCACTCAGTAAGTTCCTCTAGTGTCTGCCCTGTGTCCGTATGTCTCCTACCACATCTCACTCCTGCTAGGCTGTCATGTAGGACATAGATGACAAGTCCTACCTGACTGGTCCCCTCACCTCCTAGCATTGGTACTCCAAACTTTGTGTTATGGTTTGCATCCCTTAAACTCTCTGGAATCTCTTAGATAAAACCCAGAAAAGGACTCAGCATGTGATAGCTCCATGCTGCTCCTCACTGCTGGGAGCCCCTTTGCTATAAGACTGCAGCATAGTACAGGCGGGAGCTACTCAGCACATACTTTGTGGATAAGTCAGTGATTGGCTCTCCAACGGTAAGTGCTGCTGCCATCTGCTCCCCAGGCATGGCGCCTATCATTTGAAACTCAGCATCTCATTTGGTCCTTCCAGCAGTGCTTCTCATTCGCTCTGGTCTCCAGGGAGCAACCGTGGCTGGGCCAAACCACTTGCCCAACACTGAACTTGACCCAGAGCCCATACAACCATCTGGGTCTAATTCCTCGGTCTCTGACTTTTCTCAAAGGGGAGCGGCTTTCATTTCCAGATGTCCACATAACTCCTAGTCCTAGCCCTGGTCTCCCAGGAGCAGAGCCAGAGTCAAGAACTGCGGGTTCCAAGAACTCCGTGCCTCCAGGGTACAGAGTACGAGGGAAGGGCTCAGCAGGAGGTTGGGCCAAGCAACTTGCTCAAGATCTCCCCTGATACTCCAACACATGGAGAGCCTAAATTGCACCAGTTATATTCCATGTGGTAGTGGATTTTAAACCTTGATGCTGCAGCCCGTGTCTGCTTGCATGAGCCAGAGACAGCCATAGGTCACCCCTTTCATTTCCCCAGCATCAGCCTGAGCCCCACTAATGAGCACAGATGTTCTGACTCTGGAAAATGGAGACAAATATCCCTAGGCCTCTGAAAGGCTGTGCTTTTAGCAAGTCTCCATTCTGGCCCATCTAGCCATAGAATGTTCTCAAACTAGCCAGGGTCGCCCCCTGGTGACTTTCCAGAGCTGCTGCAGGAGGAGCTATGCTGGGACAGGAAGATAGCTTCTAGGGACCTAAGCCTCCCTACTCTACCTGTACCACCCTGGCTATGTCACTTCCACATTAAATGCCTCCTTTTTCTCATCTGCAGCACCTATGTCCCCGTGCCCCCGAAGATCAAAGTGAAACAAGAGAAGGTAAGAGGCAGCTTGGGACCCTCTTACTCTGCCTTGCTTTCTTTTCCAAGATTTGGTGCTGTGGTGGTGCCCTGAGCTACACAGAGTGCCAAGACCCTGGCTTGGTGCAGTTGCTGCCACTTGTGAAGCTGCTAAGGACAGGTCTTCAAAGTGTATCTTCAGAGCAGAAGTACCACCTGGGAACTTGCCACAGACATGACCCTCCAGGAGTATCCAAACCTATTACAGCCAACCCAGGGTAGCACCCAGGCATCCAGACCTCCCAAGCCCCTGGAGGGCGGGGACTCTATAAGCTTTGGTGGATTTTTTTTTTGTAGTTGTTCCTAGGAGCTCCTCAAAGCCACACTTACCTCTTTCTCTCCTCACCCTGTCCTTTCTAGCCCGTCCTTGTACTGCTCTGGCCCAGTCACAGGCAAAAGCAGGAATATGTATGTAAAACTCACCACACTGGACTTTTGCATACAGTATCATACTTGAGGCCCAGAGAGGGCAAGTAAATTACACAGGGACATAACCTACCTTGATCATGCTAGGAGTAGATGAAGTCCCTCTGTACCTGCCACATGCTGTCCTTGGCCTTGGGCACCACAGTCCCAGAAAGAAGCCATAGGCATCTTATAGGGTGGGTCTCTCTACTATGACCCCAATCCCCTGAAACAAGGCTGAGAAATGAAAAACCCTCCAGAGACTGTAAACCTATCATTTCATTCCTTTCATAAAGAACAATATAAGGCTGTGTAAACCCTTTGCTGCCCCCCAAATCCCCTTCACTGTCCCCAAAGCAGCCACAAGGGACAAGGACAAGGCCATGCCTGTCACAGGGAGACCTCCCTGGATGTGTAAAACTGAACATGCTGCTCTCTGAGCCTTAGTGTCTTCATACCAGGAGAGGAAAGCCTTGCATGTAGTTTGCCTTAGGTCAGAGTTTCCAGTCAGTGCCAGGCAGAACAGGTGACCCATGGGTATGTTTTTAATGCAGTGTGACACTGTCATGATTCTTAACACTACTTCCTGAAATATTTCCAGAGTCTTGGGTCATACTCCCTGTCCCCATGGGATTTTTATTTCAGCACCACTGTTCCATTCAAGGCCTCCTCCAGTGCTATGAAGCTCTTCTGTGCTGGTTCTTTCTTGTGGCCCACATCACTCTTCAGCCCTCCGTCTCAGTGATGCAAGATATCTATAGTGTCCCTAGCACTAAGTCCATAAATGCAAGGGTGTTTGTCAGAGCCCTTCATGACCTTGTTCTTACAGCCACAGCAGTATGGCACCCACTAGATGCTTTGTGTCTTTTGCTGACTGTACTCACCCGGTCCATTGTCCCTGCAGATCCTGATCTACCACCCAGCCTTCATCAAGTATGTCTTCGACAACTGGCTTCAGGGCCATGGGAGGTATCCATCGACCGGTATCCTCTCAGTCATCCTCTCCATTCATATCTGTGATGAGGTATGCCACCCCACCTTCCTGCAGGTTGCAGGAACAAAGGTTATCACCCCGTGTTTCCAGGGGAGTCCAGGTTAGGGGAGAGGGAAGACGACAGTTTCCAACCATGTCCCTCATGGGTCCCTGGCACCTGTCTCACACACATTGCTAGGAAGCCATCCAGGCCTACGGGGTTTCCACTACCCACCAGCCTCGAGAACTGGAGTGGGACTTCAAACACATTGCTCTTATCTCCAGTCCACCCAGAGATCCTTGCTCCAAGGCAGGCCTCTGCTGAGAAGCTGAATGCCATTGAACTGGGCGGTTCCAGCTATGAATTTCATAGACTGAAAGTGTTGAGACCTGATGGGTCTATCCCTGATGTCCCCAGGGACCTGATGTACCTGCTAGGTGTCAACTAAAGAAAGTAGGCCTGTGTGCATTTTGACTTGTGAGCCCAGTGTTAGGTGCACAATAAGTAGCCATTTGTGTTTGTCATGCATTCATGGGCCCCAGCCTCAGATGTTGGCCTCAGAAAGAAGCGTTTAGAACCTGTCACCTACCTTCTGTGGTCATGCATCTTGGCCTCCTTTCCAGATGAGAAAATGAGGTTCTGAAATGATCTGATGGGTCAAGAGTCAGCTTGAATGAGGGAAGATTTGCCTGTCTTCCAAGCCCCTTTCCCAACCTTCTCTCCAAGACCCCTAAGGGCTCCAGTAGAGGCCTTGCCCACCTCAGGACCACCCACATGAAGTCACCCCAAGCTGCCTTTGGGCTGGAGTTGGACTTGAGCTTTACTTGGCTTGACTTGACTTTCTGAAGAAATTTTCTATGAATCATTAATGTTTAACATAAAATTTCAGGATAAACACAGGCTACCTTTCCTATTCCCCCACCCCACTACCTTGGTCTTGCAATCTGGGTCTCACCTTGGCTTTGCCCCACAGGTGGACTTATATGGCTTTGGGGCAGACAGCAAAGGAAATTGGCACCATTACTGGGAAAACAACCCATCAGCAGGTGCATTCCGAAAGACGGGGGTTCATGATGGCGACTTTGAGTACAACGTCACAACTACCCTGGCAGCCATCAACAAAATCCGCATCTTCAAGGGGAGATGATGCTGCGACCCATTAAGGATGGACACAACACATCAGACCTCTCAGCTTGCAGCCCCAGCATCTCCCTGGAGCCAGTGTGTTCCAGAAGCTTTCAGGGCTGAGCTTGGAGTGTTCCCAGGCTTTCTGGCAGCCTCTTGCACCCTTATTTTGGTATCATCTACTTAGCAAAGTTGTCTGACTCTCCCAGGATACAGAGCAAGTCTCAGGCCTGTCTATGGTAGGAGCACTTCCCCATTGCTGTCTCCTAGCGGGAGGAAAAGGGAGCAGATAAGAGAGAAGGTCTAGCCTCCGAACAACCACAGTTATTTTGTCTTCTGGGTTGGATTGGAGGGTGAGGATGGGGAAAATAAATCCTGCAGATTCTCATATTCAAAAGATTGAACTTTTCCAAGAAGTCATTTTGGAGACTGCCACTGATCTGTGGGCCTCATGCTCAACTCAGACTCTGGCTGGGAATGTTTGGGACAGTCATCTGCAGAGCAGAGCCACACTGGGCTACACCAAGCAGAGGGGCAAGATACCGTTCTCCTTTGCATGAAACGTAGCCTGTCACTTGATATGACATCCCCATTGTCCCTTTCTTCAAAAAGGTCACCGATGATGGCTAGGCAAAGCTTCTGTCTCCAGAGGTCTTCCACGGAAACCTGGCTATGTATCACTGACAGGAATGAAACCCTTGTCACCATTCTGTGTGAGCCCCCTCTGTGGTGATACTGATGGCCAGATCAGGTCTGACTATTTCCACGTGCCTTTGAACTTGAGAAAGAAATGCATGCATTGGCTAACATGAAGCAAAATCCCCAACTGAAGAAAGGGGATCTCCACCAGCACCCCGCTTTGCTACATAGCTCAAAATCTCTTTTCAGATGATGTTCTGCACCACCCAGAGTATGCCAGGCATGGGATGGGCGCTCTGTTCTATTTCCTCAGACTGCTGGGTTCAGGACCACAAACAACCAGCATCTTCCCCTGGGTCCTTAACACTGAGCCAAGTCCTTAGCAGTCACCTTCCTGGACATGTTTGGGGTCGCACTGGGGACACTCTAGAACTATAACTGAAATGCATGTACCTCTTCTCCTCAATTCTGTCTGTTCTCCCCTCCTTCCTCTACAGAAATCCTGATTATTTATTGATGTGTTAATTCAGCCGACCCTGTGCACACTCTTCCCCACAGCTGATCATAGTGTGTTTTGTTGCTTTGCCCAGCAAGTGGGAGCAGGCACGGAAGGGAGAGCATCCTGGATGTATAAGTGTTGAGACATCTGGACTTGGGGCTTGCTGGTGGGCAGATCCTGTGGCGCTGACAATCTTTGTAGAATCCATGTCACCTCCTTTCTAGTCCAAGTGACTTGCTTTCTTCCTCATTGCAGAAAGGAGGAGAACAGGCACTTGGAAGTTACTGTCACCTCCTTACAAATGTTCCATAAGAGAAACCTCTGTTTCTGTTGAGAACTATTCCCTAAAGACCACAACAACATCATCAAGGCAGATTGTGAGAGAGGTATCTTGAGGGTTGGGAGATCGCCCCCTGCTCAAGTTCCCCTCTCAACTTTGGGCCATTCATAGGCATCACCAAAGAGCAGATGCTAAGATTGCCATTTTCTAAGAGTCTGTCCTGTGAGTGGCTTTGGAATTGCCTTTTGTTTAATTTTCAGTGACTCAGAATTCAGGTTCTTCATGAGGGAACAATATGTTTCACTTTTAAAACCTTTCTGACCTAAAATCCTCGGCTGAAAAGGCTGGACTCCTGTGAGGTCCTTGCTGTGCAGAGCCCTCCTCAAAGGTCCCAGTTTGAGGAACTCAGCAGATTTTTGTGGATCAGTGGGTCAATCCCTACATCAAATCAAAAGTAGTGGACATTGGCTTAGGGGTGAGAGTTCAGGCGTAGCTGGGTTCTACTGCAAGAGAGCAAGTGCCTGTAGCGTGAGTGTAGCCATTTCTAGCTGAGTGCTGCTCAAGAAGCTCTTCTGGTCTCCATGGGCCCCCTCCCACTCCCCTCCCCCTCCCACCTTCCTCCCTTCCTCCCTCTGTCTCTCCTCCAGCCAAGGAGCCAATGGTTCTCTTTCCCATAAGCCTCATCCTTCCCCTGTCTTTCACTGGCTTAGCAGTGAGCTCTTAACTGAATAAAATACAGTCAGTTGTGGCCAGAATTAAGTGCACCAATTAGTTTAAGGTAACTGGAGCTTTCCGTGGGTGTAGGTGGCTGAGAACAGGAAGGGCCTTCCCCCAAAGAGACTGGGCTTCCTGCTGACAGAAAAGCTGCTCCTGGGCTCCAGGCAGAGAGGAAAGGGCTGGCTTCCAGTGCACAGGAGTCTACTAAGTCCAAGGGAATTGGGGCATGGGGGTCTCATCAGCACCCCAGACTACTAGCCTGCAGTGAACCAGAAGGCTGATGTTTCTTGCACTGGTGGCAGGCTTCCATTCCCCTTGGCCTCCATTAGAGGAGAGAGAAGCAGATCTGTAGCCTTTGGTTCCTGGAAGGGACAAGCAAGCCAAAGAGGAAAGTCTTGATGTTGATGCCTTTAGGCTGGCTTTTGGGAATCAGACATCATCCAAGAAGCTATGTGGGCAGAGTTAGTGCAGCAAAACCCCCAAAACAGTGATAGAATGGGGAGACCAGCAACCATCTAGGGCCTTGATGGTCTAAAGGTCTGGAGACCATAGGATACAGATGGTGCTGCAGTCTTCACCGTGGCCACAGGGGTCTGCTAGAGGACCATCACACCTCCTGGGAATGTGGCCTCCCTGTCAGAAGTGGAAAGGACCACAGTGGATACTGAGAACCCAGAGGGTGGCTTCACCTGTGCCCCGTCAAAGTAGCTCCCAACATGCAGGGTAGGGGAAGCCCTAGGTAACCCCGCCCAGAGGATAGAGTGACAGCTGTGTGCCCCCAGGAGCTGACAGCTGGAGCCACAGGTTCCATCCTAGCCAGGTGGCTATGAGGTGAGAAAGATTGGCTCTAGGCAGCTCAGCCACCAAGGCCTGGCTAGCTAATTTTCAGATAGCATCAGCTGTCCCCTTTGTCACCCTCTCCTGTGTCCCAGGTGTTACCTAATACCTCTAAAAAAGCACCGAAGGGTGAAGAGAGAAAGCAGAGACCAGCAGGGTAGTGCCCCATGCCTTCAGCCTCAGAGTATAGTAAATGTGTCATCAGTCAGGTGTAGCCTGGACCCCACTCTTACCTCCCCAACCTCTCTGCTCACTTAGCTTTTACATTGGCTCCTCCTACCAAGGATCTGCCCCATGGGAACCGCTTTAACCCTTTCTCCAGAGCCTAATCCAGATTTTGCACACCCTACTAGGTGAACATGGGTAACGCCTGCCCCTCCCCCACCCTTGCACAATCACTTTAAGATTTCCCCAGAGCCTGGCCTTGCTCAACCCACTCTAGTAGGTAGACATGGGTCCCTCCTGCATCTCCAGGCACCACGGCTTTAGCCCTGTCCCCAGTCTGTTTCAGAGCCAAAGTTTGCCAAGAGCTTCCCGCCCAAAAGCTTTCCCTTCCTTGCCTCCTGTGGCCCAGCGTTGCCCGTTTAAACTTTGCTTTCTCCTGCCCACATCTTGATAATCCTCCTGATTGGTCTGAATGCCTTTCCGATGATGTCAGCGAGCCTGACTCCCTCAGCCTCGGCTCCGTTTTATTTATTGTTGAATATTTCCAATGATTCCAATGAAAGTGAATAAAAAGAGCTATTTTATTTTATTGTTTGGGTGTGTTCAGAGTTCTGCTTCGGTGCAGTTGCTCTTTGAGGGGTCTGTTCAGTCCTGAAATGACTGGACGCAACCTCTCCTAGGGTCTCCTGGGATGTTGCCCTCCTCCCTGTTGGAAGGGGGCTGAGGAGACAGAGTGGAGTCATTCCCTGCAGTGAGACTACTGTGAGTTACCTAACCTCCGCTCTTGTCCGTCACATGGACTTGACCTTGCCAATCTTCAGAGGGGCCTGAGATCAGAAACAGAACATCCCAGGAGGCCTAAGTGGATACAGGGCCAGTCGCTCTGATGTTTGCTTGGCTGAGGCCCAGTGTACATAGAGGAGATAGCCACACCCTGGGAGGAACACAGGCCAGATCTGAATGACACAAGCACTCTTCCTTGGATTTTTAAAGAAATATTTCCAGAAGCCTTGGAATGGAACTTTGCCATGTGAAGTTGGTGTGCGCCTGTGATTCCCTCCCTCATGGTTGGTACAGTTCTTTACAGATTATATGCCACCTCGATTGTCCTTGCTGATCCAAGACAACAAATACAGACGTGGCCCTAGAGTCAGGCAGTGTGGGGCTACTGCCTGGCTGTGTGAACCTGTGCAGGTTGTTGAGTGGCCCTGTGCCTGACCTCCACAGTTAACTTGGAATAGTGACACACCGGAGTATACACATGCATTAAAAACTGAGTTAGCACCAGTAACAGGCTTAGCAAGATGGGGCACTGGGCAGATGCACTTCAGCAACACCAGGAAGGGTGGCCAGACTCCAGCCCTGTCTGACTTTACCCTTGCTCCCTGTGTCTCCATCCCTGCCTCCTATCCTCAGTGACAGGCTTCACCATGTTTCTTCTCCAGGAGGCTTCTTCATCTCCAGAATTCCTTTTCTTCTATCACATCTGTTTCTTCACGAGAGGTCATGCTCATTCATTATTAAAGCACATGTACAATATACATACAAACTGCAGACACATATAACCTCCGTGAATACACACAACACAGACAATACACACAATACACTACACATACACAGTATACACAGACACAACACATATATAAAATATACATGTACATATAATGTATCACACATACACACTCAATCAACACAGACATCACACATAAAATATATAAACACACATCATAACGCAACATGCACACTACACATATACAGTACACCAAAACCACCTTGTACAATACGTAGCATCTCACACACACACACACACTACAACATCACTTACAAACACACACATACATATCATACCATATCGAAACACACACACACACTCCATCAGAGACCTAGACTGGCTTATGGTTTCAGTTGCATAATAGACAAGCAGCCACATGGTGGCAGCATGCTGTAGTCAGTCCCTGAGGAACCATGCTTGGCTTCCTTCCTTTATCCCCTGTATATCTATCTCCTCATACCAAGTCTCAGACTTGAGTTCCTGGAATGTACATTAGCAAAAAAGCGGTAAGGGTGTAAGGACATCTGGACATAGAGTGGCCTTGAACAGCATCCAGCCCTCGGGACATCTGATCTGACCACAATGCCTTGGAGAATCCAGAGAGTCCTTCAGGCTGCTCCTGTGTTTGATATAAGGTATTTCAGCATCAATGGATTTTGAAATCATCAAAGAGCTAGAGCAAGTCCCCTTATTCACAGGGATAACTGTCCTCAGAGGCCCATCCTTTACTAAGTTGGTGGTAGACTCTAGAGGCCCAGCACCCCCATGCTGGGAGGACTAAGCAGGAGCTTCAGAGGAGGGGTTGCCCTCTGCTTCAGCCTCACTTACTCAACAGAGGTACCTCTGAGGATGTGGTGCACACACTCTGACCACCATAGGAATTTCTTTCTCCTCACTTCCCTACTCCTCAGGTTCTACACAGAGACTATCCATGGCCTGAACCAGAAAGTAAAGTGAACCTACTTCCACCTGCATTGCTAAATTCAGTCGACCAAATTCTCAGTCACCTTAGAAACTGGCTGTCCCTGGTTCTCACATTGAGTATTTTGCAAACTTTCAGCTCCAGTACTGCAGAATAATGTATATATATATACACACACACATGCACACACACACACACACGTACATACATACTTACACATATATACACACATGCATACACACAATATACATACAATATGCATACACTCACACATACACACACACACACACACACACACACACATGAAACTAAATGAACACTTCAAATGGTCAAGATGACAAAGAGGACAGTCCATAGCTCCTTGCAATGCTAAGCCTTATTATACTCTAGTCTATAGCAGAAGAGAACATACTTAGCTTCCACTGTTTGCTGATTTAGCTTCTCCATCACTTCAACTGAGCCCTGAAGCAGGGTGGAGGATTTGTGTCCAAGCTGTTTGGTCACAGGAGTGGGGCCTGGTCAGGCTGCAGGTCCTGAAGGCCTGAGTCTGGATCACAGCTGCACAGGTGAAGGAGTGATCTGAGGAGAGACAACTGTACAAGAAATAGAAGAAAGAGCTAGAGAGGTCACCAGTCCCCAGGGATGTACATGAATGCAGTGGGACATGGAGGACAACCGTACAAAGGTTCAAGCTGAGTCAAACAACATCAACCCACCTGCAGTTCACTAGAGACAGGGGAACACAGGAAGCCAGGTGGTGGGGTCAGGCTGCTTAGGCTGGGTTGCATATGGCAGAGAGACAGCACCAGAAGCTCTCATGGAGGATAGTGATGGTGGTGTCCTTTTCTAGATGGTGTCATTGGACAACAAAATGGATGGGAAAGGGGCAAAGGTCAGGACTGTGGGTTTCCTGGACACTGCAGCTGTGGCCATATTCAGAGAGTCAAGCCGTTTCTCTCAGGTCCTCATCAGCTCAGCAGAGGTGTCCTCCTGGCCCATTGCAGACCTAAAACAAAAGATCTTGGTGTCTGCTTTGAGCTCTCAGGTCAGGGTTCTATGAATTCTGTTGAGATAGAAAGTTCTGTGGGCTGAGAGCTTCTCAGCCTCAAGCTCCTAGGTGCAGCTTTCTCTCATGACCTCTTCGGCTGCCTCTAGACTCTGAGACACTCTTCCTCCATACTTTCCAGCATTTGGACTAGCTTTGTGGAAGCATTGTCCCAAACAAGGAGCTCAAGTTGATCTGGGTCTGTCCGTGGATGGATGGTTTCTTCCCCCCCAAGAAGAGCTCTGGTTGGACCAAGGGTCCTGGGAATCAATGGTCAAAGCCTGCATCCATCGATGGGCCTCTATGGAGTAAAAGGGATGCCACAGTTGGTGCCAAGAGAAAATGCAGGCTTAGTATCTGCTTCATCTAGCACAAGAACATCGAGGGCAATGGGCACTGCAGCTGGATGTGGGCAAGAATAGGACTCTGCCGGGAGAAGGTAGGAAGCCATGGTGACAGACAGATAACCAGATAGCAGTCACACCCATTAAAAAAAAAAAAAAAACAAGAAAGCACATTGCCTATGGCCTCATATGCATTAATTTGATGAGGCAGAGCACCTTGAGGAAGAGAAACAGACTCAGGGAGACTTGTAGTGCGTCACAGGGTGGAGCTAGCAAACACGTCAAAAGTGAGGTCTGGCTCACAGTGTCCTGAACACTGATCGTGATATTTGGGACCTCAGGGGCAAGGACTCTAGGTGGTGTTCCTAGCAGAAGAATTCTAGACATGAGCCCTACACAATGGTTTGAGCCAGTAAAGCAGGACCAACCCAGGGCTATCCAGTTCCTTCTGACCCCTTGGCTTAAAGTGCTAGCCAGAGTGTTCAGTGGTGGTGGCCACCAGAGGGTGCAACAGAGCCACCTTAGTCAAGATCATGTCTGACTGAGTTTAGCTGATATGCAGAGGCCTTTGAAAGCCACGGGAGAAAAGGCACACACCTGTAAACAAAGTCAGACCTTCAAAGGACTTTGCCTTAGCTATGAGCCATCTCAACACCCTTCTGATAAGATCGCTATCTCTGTCACTCTACTGAGTAAACCAGTCAAGAAAACAGGTCTGGGCCCAGTAGGGGACAGTGAAAGTCCCCAGCCACTGTGGACAGGATAATAAATGTTCTCTCCCCAAGGTTCATATGAAACCCAGATCCCCTTGAACCCCCGGCCCTGAAACTTGTTCTTGGTTCTCTATTATTTCTGAACTATATGCCTATGAGGGAGCTTGATCTCTCTGAATCATGGTATGTTAATTGTAAAAGTGTATTAAATGACATGATAGACATGAAGCATTGTGCCAGCCATTTTCTGAGATTTCCTATGTGTCTAACACTTATCATGCTCCTCCCTAAATTCTTCTAAGAGACTGAGATGGCATTGGTGTCCACACAATACCTACGACTATAATGGCATTTGCCTTTGGTCACCCTGTTCGTAACTCCTCAGCCAAGAACAAAGACCAGAGCTGACTGTGTATCTGTCAGGCTGGGGCAGGTTAATGCTGCAAAAACAAATAAACTTCAAGTCCCACTAACATAGAACACGGCTAGTTTCTTTTAGGGACAGTTTCAGGAGTTTGGGGCTTTCCCTCATGTGATGATCCAGCCTGTCATGAAAGACACTACCAGCTTTACCTCCTTCAGCATGTAGCCTTCAAGGTCACTGCGCAAGAAGCTGGTAATGGTTCATAAGCTCTCAAATGTCTCCACTTAGATCTGATACCCATCACTTCCATGCTAGGTCCACTGACCAGCAGGAGTTTCATTGCCCAAACATCATAATGGAAAAATGAATGGTGGGATAGAATTTCCAGAATCCCTGAAGGCAACTGGCCACCTCTGCCAAAAATCTTTCCTTGATGTCAGAGATCCTGTCCTAGACTTGGAGCCAATTTGTGACAACTCAGCAGGTCTGCTGTGGTCAACCCTGGGTTAAAGCTGATCAGAAGGCTTAAAAGATGCAAGCAGCAGGGCAGGCCATAAAGAAGCATCCCAGGGGACAGGATGCCCAGCATCAGAGAATAGAGATTGAGGCCACTCATCCCAGTTGTAGTTGTATGCAAGCAAAAGTAGAG